TCAGGGGGTGGCAGAGCCGGTGCCCAGCCCAGTGGGTGGAGAGCCGGTGCCCAGCCCAGTGGGTGGCAGAGCCGGGCCCAGCCCAGTGGGTGGAGAGCCGGTGCCCAGCCCAGTGGGTGGAGGGGCCCATTCTGCCTGGAGCTGGTGACTACCGTCTCACCTAAGAGAGAAAGAATAAAAATCATGTGATCCTCTTAATAGATGCAGAAAAATTTTTCGACAAAATTCAACATCCTTTTATGAAAAAAAAAAACTCTCAACAAAGTGGGTGTAGAGGGAACACACCTCAACACAATGAGGCCACATGTGACAAACCCAGAGCTAATATCTTCCTCAATGGTGACAACTGAAGTCTTTTTCTCTAAGATCAACACAAGACAAGGATGCCCACTGTTGCCGTTATTATTCAACATAGAAGAAGTCCTGACCTCAGCCGTCAGACAACGAAAAGAAGTACAAGCATCCAGGTTGGAAAGGAAAAAGCAAAACTGTCCTTATTAGCAGGTAACATGACACTACATCTATTAAACCCCAAAGACTCCACCAAAAAGCTACTAGAACTAATACATTCAGTAAAATTGCGGGATACAAAATTAATGTTCAGAAATATGTCGCATTGCTGTACACTAACAGCAAATTGCCAGAAAGAGAAATGAAGAAGTTCCATTTACAAGTGCATCAGAAAGAATAAAATACCTAGAGTAAATTTAACCAAGAAGGTGAAAGACCTGTACTCTGAAAACTATCGGACATCGGTGAAAGAAGTTGAAAAAAGACATAAATAAATGAAAGGGTATACCATACTCATGGATTGAAAGAATGCATAGCATTAAAATGTTATGAATCTGAACATTTTATCTGAAATGTTCAAAGCAATCTGCAGATTCAATGCAATCCCTATGAAAATACCAGTGGCATTTTTTTCACAGAACTAGAAAGAAATAATGACAAATTTTACAAAAGACCCTGAACAGCAAAAGCAGCCTTGAAAAAGAACAAAGTTGGAGGCCTCATGCTCCCTGATTTCAAAGTATATTGTAAATGAACTACCCAGTGCGGTGCCGGCATTAAAACAGATCAATGCAACAGAATAGAGAGAGAGCCCAGAAAGAAACCCTCACTTATATAGACAATTACTGTCAGATAATGGAGGCAAGAATCTACGATGAGGAAAAGACAGTCCCTTCAATACCTGGCGTTGGGAGAGCTGGCCCAAACCAGACCGTCAATAACACGCGTCTGATAAAGCCATCGCTGAACTGAGCAAACGCAGGAGTGAGTTTCTGCTAAGAGTCATGACGTCAACGGAGAAATCTTCCCGTCGCCCTGAAGTCGTTTCATAAACGTTTAAAGAAAGAAATGGGCGTGTAAGTAAGAAATAGGCCTGATTCGTGAAGACAGAGATGATGCTAAAGTAATAGTATTATTTCAAGAATTTCCCGTAGACGGATCACGATTAATATTGAAGGAATGCCATCACTGTCATGGAATTGCCGTCCCCGGAATTACATGCATGTCCCCCGTCCTGCAGGGTGAACGTCATTTTTGTGTGTAGCACACGCATGCACCGATGCCCATATGAACATATTCGATGTTTAAAAGTTGAAAACCCATGTGTTTTTGCTCCCCGTCTACTTACCTCGTTTCCTCTTTAACATGTTTTACTATGAAGCACTTATTAGAATCCCAGGAACTAAAAATACCTGCAAAGAATATTGTCGTAAGTGTCACCACATTCAAATCTGAAAGTAAGAAGCCCAGTCCCGGTGCGAACATCTTGGTGCTGGACGTAAGACCCAGGGACTTCATTAAGGAAAAAAAAGAACGTTAAAAAATAGGGTTAAAACTGAGCGAAGTAAGAAAAGTGTTACTGAGTCAATGGAGTTCAAAAATAGTCAAACTCGTTATTTAAAAAGGCATTGAGGTTAGAAGAGAAGGTGATTTGTTGACCGAAGTGCTCATTCAGGCAGTAGAGCCATGGGGGACTTTAGAACGTCTCCGTCATCCCTTCACCACGTGTGGGTGTCTCTCGGCACTTGGGCTGGCTCGGCGTTGGCATTGGCGTTGGCGGTGGCGGGGGCGTTGGCGTTGGATGGACGGGATGGGGCCGTTCTTCGCGGGATCTTCCTCTGGTTGAGAGCCAAGTCCTGTCTGACCGATGCCGCGCGGGGTCGTGGATGCCCCACACCTCAGCGGCCCTGCCTTCCAGTCCCTCAGGTGCATCCGAATAGGACGTTGTTGGCAGCCCTGCCTCACCTGGGGCACCTGCTGGGGGCCTGGCTCCCAGAGAAGCGTCTTCAGTGTCCCCGGCTCATCCTGTGATGAAACACAATGGTCATGGAGATTCGGTGGAGACGGCAAGGCCTTTCGGGATAAGGAAAGCCCAGTTCTGAGTCCTGGCTCTGTTCCCGAAGCACCCGCTGCCCTTTAGCCCCTCGGACCCTCTGTGCTCGTCTGGAATCTATACGACACGCCCAGGGCTGCCTCCAGGTAGACCAGCCACCCCACAGAGCCTCTGGCACGCGATCTACTGCAGACGCTGCCACCTGCAGTTTGCCAGCTCGTCAATAAGAAGGAAAAAGGCATCTGAGACACGGAGGCAGAATCCACGTGTTTACAGGGACACGGGGCTTGGCTCCACGTGGAGACCACGGTGGGCCTCGCCGGGACCGGTGGGACCCTGTCCAACAGGGGGACCCCCGGGTGTGATTCCTCCACATGCAGCCCTTCTCCGACCCCTTGATCTCACTCAAAAGCGGGCAACTACTCGCTGAGACTCACCATGGGCCGACCTCAGAGCCCTCACCACCGCTGCTGCCCGGTTCCTGGCGTGCGAGGCTGTGAGGATGTGATGTCTGTGCTGCCACCCACCCTGGGTGCGGGGTGCTCCTCCCCACCTCCTGCTGCTCAGCACACTCACCCTCCCACCCCTGCTC